GTCGAGTCGATTTCAACTAATAGAGACCCTGTAGGACAGAGTAGAATGGCCCCATAGGGTTTCCAAGGCGCAGCTGGTGGATTTGAACTGCCAGCCTTTTGGTTAGCAGCCGAGCTCTTAACCACTGCACCACCAGTGCTCCAATTACTATACTATGTTACACCTATTGCAGAGTCCTGCTTGACCAAGCTCTCCCTAAAGTTCTATTAAATGATTATTAGGAGAAATGAATGAACTTCTGCCTAGGTATTGTCCTAAGTGCTTTATATACCAATTTAGTTTAATCCTTGCAAATACGTATTATTATGTCCATTTTACAGATGAGGAAATGGAGGATTACGGAGGGTGACTGACTTGTCCCAGCTGACTTGTGCCAGAGAAGCAATGGGAGTGTTATGGATTGAATCGTGCCCCTCAAAACATGTGTTGGAATCCTAACCCCTTTATCTGTGAGCCTGTCTGGAAAGAAGGTTTCCTTTGTTATGGTAAGGAGTCCATATCAGTGCAGGGTGTGTCCTAAACCTAATCACCTCTGAGTTATAAGGAGCAGCACAGACACAGAGACAAGGAAACCCAAGTGGGGGAAGACAGATGCCACATGAAGATTGCCAAGGAACTGAGGGATACCACAGAAACAGACGCTGAGACGAGGATGTTCCCCCAGAGCCAACAGAGAGCCTTCTCCTACAGTAGGTGTCCTGAATTCAGACTTCTAGCCTCCTACACTGTGACAGGGGCCCTGGTGGCACAGTGGTTAAGAGCTAAGGCTGCTAACCAAAAGGCTGGCAGTTCGACTCCACTGGCTGCTCCTTGGAAACCTCAAGGGGCACTTCTACTCTGTCCTGTAGGGTTGCGATGAATTGGAATCAACTTGACAGCAAAGAGTTTGGTTTGGTTTTGGTTTAAACTGTGAAAAAATAAATTTCTGTCCTTTAAAGCCACCCATTTGTGGTATCTGTATTACAGCTTGTGGTTGTTATGTTCCGTCGAGTTGATTCCAACTCATATTATAGCAGCACTAGCTAACTAAGACTGGGAGTCACCAATCCAAGATGGTGAGAACAGGCACTTGGGTTCACCAGCCCCAGAAACCAACACAGATGCAATGTTCACTTATGGTGTGTACACCAATTCTCTAGCCAACTCTCATTCACATACGGAAAGAGCAATTAAGCATCATCAGGGAGAATAAAACCCAGTGAGCTAGGCCTGCCTTTCTGTCTACGCAAACCCTCAGCCAGACCTGCTGCCAGGTCCCGCCCTCCCACTCACCCTTTGGGAGGAAGTGCAGAGAAATGCCCTGGATTGGAGCTGTTGGAGGACAGAGGAGTAGGAGTAGGGCTCCCCCAAGAAACTCCGCTCAAGGAAAGAGGAAATGCACGCATCTTCTCTCAAGGGAAGTTACAATAGCTAACCGAGGACTGAGCTGGAAGATCAAAACCACTCAGTGCAGCACACACAGGTGGGCCTTGCTCAGCCCAAGACCCTGGGTCTGAGGTGTCTTTGGACCTGGCCAACTGAGGAACATATTTGTTCCTTTTTTAAGTTTTAAATATTACCATTTATAATAAATTATTTAAATTTATTATTTATAGCCTCACTTTGCTCTACAAAAGACTCCAGGTGACTTACATGAAATACATCCAATGAAGAGAAAAATATAAAAAATACTTTTAGCAATTAGGAACAGAGAAATATAAATTAGAAAAGATAATCAAGACTGGAGAGAAGGTAGGGCATAAATATTCAGATTTTTAATTAAAATAAAACAAAACAAAAGCTCACCCTTTACTGAGCACTTAGTAAATGCCAACTATTGTGCTAATGGCTCTGCATGGACCACCTCTGGTCAGCAGTTTGAATCCACCAGCTGCTCCTTGGAAAGCCTCTGGGGCAGTTCTACTGTGTCCTATAGGTTCGCTGTGAGTTGGAATTGACTCCATGGCAATGGGTTTTTTTTTTTTAATAGCATAAGAGATGGGTGTGGGTATCCTGTCTTACAGATGAGGAAATGGAGGACCTGACGTTTAGCAATATACCCCTTTTACACATCTGGTGGAGTCCCTAGGTGGTGCAAATGGTTAAACACTCGACTGCTAACAGAAAAGTTGGAGGTTTGAGTGCACTCAGAGGCTCCTTGGCAGAAAGTCCTCATGATCCACTTCTGAAAAACCAGCCACCGAAAACCTTGTGGAGCACAGTTCTACTGTGGCACACATACGGCCACCATGAGTCAGAGTCGACTTGAAGGCAACTGGTTTGGCTTTACATCTGGAAGTTGGTGAGGCTAAGGTGCAACTCTAGGGCTGCCGGACACTATCTGTACTTTTTGTTTCTATGCGCACTGGGCCTCTTACAGAACTAGGCTGAATTCCCTCAGGAATTTACTGATGGACAAAGCGACAAGGGAAATATTCAAGGAAAACTTTCATAAGGAGACCATATACCATCTTCTCAGGAGAGACAAGGCTTCTCTTGGCACTCAATGTGAAAATGTCCTTCTCACATAGAGCTTCAGAGAGGGGATAAGAAGTGATACTATGACATGACTCAGCAATCCCAATCCTAGGTATATACCCAGAAGCAGTGAAAGCAGGCTCGCAAGCAGAAACCTGAACACCAGTGTTCACTGCAGCACTTTTCACAATAGCCAAAATGTCCATCAACAGATGAATGGATAAACAAAACTTGGTACATACATACGATGGAAGATTACTCGGTCATAAAGACAAACGAAGTCCTGACGCATGCCACAACATGGATGAACCTTGAAAACATCATGCTGAGGGAATAAGTCAGTCGCAAAATGACAAGTACTGTATAAGCTCAGTTATGTGAAACAAGCAACTACATAGAAAACAAAGATCATCAGTGGTTACTAGGGGTAGGAGGGAGGGGGTAAGGGGAATTTTTGCTTAGGGGGCATTGAGTGTATGTTAATGGTGGGGGAATAACTAGGAAGAAAATAGGATAGGGGTTGTTCAACATGAAGAGGATAGTGTAATCAATGTCATGGATTCTACACGTAGAAACTGCTGAATTGGTGAATGTTTTGTTGTGTATATTTTTATCTCTCTCACACACACACACACACACACACACACACACAAAGTTGTACTGCAAACTATCCTCTACATGGTGGAACAAGGAGGGAGGGCCTAGTGGCAGCACATGGTCGTAAGACAAACCAGACTGACGTTTAGTCTGTTTATTTTTAAATTGTCTTCAGACAGCACACCCCTTAGTACCTAACGCCTGGGGGGGACTGCTCTCAAAACTCCCATGCCCAGATGCCCCCCAAATTATCCCACAAACAAACATAACATTGGGATTCCCAAAGCTGTTTTTTAAGTGTTTCAACTATTACCAGAAACTGACCTCCATGCTGGCAGTTTTATTAGTCTTTCTACACTTGAGCACACAGCAAATGGTTTCCCTTCCATGGCCTAGTTCCGAAGTTGGACTTTGAAATGACTGAAAGTAACTTGTTGCCGCTCTCTTTAGGGAGCAAGTCGCAGGCTGGCTGAGGTGCACGGGCTGCTTGAGTGACTCGCAAGAAAACCCGATCTGTGCTCACACCTCCTTAGGAGGGGACCGAGGTACGGCCTGTGCCAGTGCCCTGAGAAGCATGCCTGGGTTTAAAAACTGTTCCACTTCCCAAAGCCACATCTGGGACAATTTGAGCATCAAAATAAATAATGCTAGTAATGGATTAGAACAACATAAATAAATAAATAAATAAATAAATGGAGAAGAGAAAGATTTTGCCCAGTAGAAAGCCAAGAAAAAATATAGAAGGAATGATAGAAAGTCATCACGGGGGCTAAAATGAAATAAAAAAAACCCCAAACCCATTGCCGTCGAGTCAATTCCGACTTACAGTGACCTTATAGGACAGAGTAGAACTGTCCATAGGGTTTCCAAGGAGCTGCTGGTGGATTCGAACTGCCAACCTTTTGGTTAGCAGCAGAGCTCTTAACCACTGTGCCACCAGGGCTCCAAACTAGTAGGTAAAAATTGGAGGAGGAACAGGATATTGACATAGTTCAATGCATCTTGCCCCAAATTAAAGAGAAAAACAGCAACTTTACAGATGCCACCCTACTCAAGTGCTCGAAGCTGACAGCAATCACAGGAGAAACCACCATTAGGCGTCTCCTGATAGGATGTGCTGGGAAGGACACAACATCCTGCCAAACTCATTATCTGACTCTAACCACGGCGAGCCATCAGGTAAACCTGAACGGAGGGTCTCTCTACAAAAGAGCCGGCCTGTGTGCTTCAAAAACGCCAAGGCCAAGAAACACAAAGGAAGGCTGAGGAACTGTTCCAGATTAAAGGAGACTAAAAAGACAACAAAATGCAATATGCGATCCTGGCCTGGAAAACCCCCCATAGCTATAAAAAACATTATTGGGACAACTTGCAAAATTTATTATGGACTGTGGGATTTGGTAATAACATTGTATGTGTCAAAGTTACATTTGCTGATTTTGATAACTATACTGTTGTTATGTAAAACAATGTTCTTGCTTTTAGAAAATACACTCCAAAATATTTATACGGTTCAGGACAAAATACATTATATACATGGGAGGGGAGAGAATGAATATGAGTAAGCAAATGGGACAAATGTAAACAATTAGTAAGTCTGGATAAAGGGTATGTGGGAGTTTCTCTGTTCTGTTCTTGTAACTTTTTATAAATTCAAAATTACATTAAAATATAGAGTTTCACACACAAAAAAATTCCGTTTACAGGCCTGGAGTCCGTTTCTGGGTATTTTGTAAAAGAGTGTCACTGGTGTTCCCAGAATCTCCCACGGAAGCCACCAGGATGAAGTTTCGGCCCCACCCTCCTGGGGAGAGTTAACTGGTTTGGATCACATCACACAGCTCCTTGTGAATATCCCAGGTAATACGGAGATACTGAGAGAACGGGAAACGCTTGAGGTACAGCCATTTTAACCAACAGGAAGAGAATCTGCGAGTAGCACTCACGTTTTTCATTTTGAAGGACTCCTCCTCCAATTTCTCCACTGCCAGAATGTTCTCGATAGGAATGCTGTACAGAGGCTGGTCGCCTGCAGGAGGCCAACAGAGAGAGAGGAGTTAACGGGGAAGGCAGCGGTGCTCTGCTCCTTGCTCTCAACTCAATGGATCTGGCCTGACGTCCCCAGAGAAGCCATTTCTACTCATCCCTAAGGTGTCGAGTACAGACTGGGTTTCCCTGGCAGGCTGCGACCTTTCTGTGTGAGCTATGTTCATGTCAGCCACAGAGCTACGGGGCCACGGTGGTGAGGAGACACTCAGGTGCTTCTGCCCTTGTTTCTCATAAAAGCTAGAGCCTAGGTGAGGAGACTAATAAAATGAAAGGCCGAGAGCACGTGAGGGGGTAGAGACAGCAGGGGTCAGAGATGGCCTTGGGATCAGGGACCTTAAGTTGTGGGACACATTCTCGGTCCACAGAATAAGTGTGTCACAAACTTGGTCTTTTACATACTTCTCTGTACCTCTTATGCTCCCCGCTTACTCTGAATGTGAGCCCCCCCACACGTACGCATATATTTTCATAATTATGCTAAAGTGTCTCTCTCTGCACGCTCTATTTCTAGGAAACACGTTACTCAATTTTTTAATGAGAAGAAGTGGCCTTCTCAATGTTTCGTAATTTAAATCTGAGCCAATTTCAGACACTGAGAAAAAAAAGAAAACAAAATAGGACATAGAATTATCACTAACC